CACTCGCAGCAACTACAGTGAAAAAGATCTTGGGAGAGCATGGGAAGATCAAGATAGGCTGGGTAAATTGCCGCATAAGAAGAGTAGAGAGGCCAATGCAGTGCTTCAAGTGCTGGCACTACGGACATCTCGCCACTAAATGCAGAAATAAGATCGACCGGTCCAAACTCTGCGCTAAATGCTCAGACGCAGACCACAAGGCTACAGACTGTAAAAAGGAGCCTCAATGCGCCCTGTCCATAGAGTAAGGTAACACGGAGAACTGTGCCCACATTGCTGTTAGCACCAGATGCCCAGTGTATAAGGAGGCACTTCAGGAGCTGATCAATAAACAACGATGAAAGTGATACAATTCAACCTTAACCACTGTGAGGCCGCACACGATCTGCTCAAGCAGGCTGTGTGGGAGTTGAAGTCTGACATTGTCATGGTCTCGGAGCCATATAGACATCTTAGCACCCAACCCTGCGTTACCGACGCTAGTAGAAAGACAGTCATCTGGTCTTGTGGGACCTACCCTTTCCAGACCATGCTTTGTAGTAATGAAAATAGTTTCATGAAGGCTAAGATTGATGGAATTTACTTCTACAGTTGCTAAGCCCGACCTAGTCTCTCGATTGACGAGTTTACGGATTTCCTGGACAGACTGACTGAGGATGCGAAGCAGCACTTTCCGGTGGCAATGACCGGGGACTTCAACGCCTGGGCAGTCGATTGGGGATGTAAGCAGGGTTTGAAAACGCGTTCTTCGTTCGTTTTCGTTCTTGGATCGAAGAACGAAACCAAAAAAAACGTTCTCAAGAAGAACGAAATCAAGAACGAAATTGTGAGAACGTTCGCGCAAGAACGAAATTGAAGAACAAAAATATGAAGAAGGTTCCTCTACGAAAGAACAAAATGGAATAATATTGAAAAACGTTCCCAAAAGAACGGTTCGGAACGAAATGGAATGACATTCGGCAACAGCGCACGGGAGGCTGTAGTTTTCAGAATTTATTGACATTTTCTTTCTAAAATGTCTTCTATGAGACCGAAGCCGCTATCTGTGTACAAAAAATTTCGTTTAAAGTTTTTTCCATGTTTCCGATCGAGAAGGATAGTTGAAATGAAGGAAAAAGAGGGCAATCGGAGGTCTCTAGTTCAATTATCGGCGGAGATATGGAAGATGATTTTTTTCTTCATTCTGTTTTTTTTCGATTTCTTAATTACTATTATCCATGTGGATAATTAAAAAATTCAACCCATAGATTTTGTCGAAAATTTTCTAAATTTTTTGGAAAAAATATTGTCTTTTATGTTTCCAAACATTTTGACATAGAAAACTCCAAAAGAAAGTTTCAAACGGCCATTTGTGTTCGTTCCCCAAACTTGGCATTTTTTTTTCTTTCACGGGAAAGCGCAGAAAATTTCGTAAATAAAACATATTTTCAATTTTGGTACTCTCATCAATCCAGCGTTGAAATGCGGGGAAAAATAAATTTTGTTCCCTGAGAAAAAATGGTTTTTCAAAAATATCTCAAAATCTAAAGAAAATACAGAAATTTTCGTAAAAATTTTTTTTGTAGAGCAAAATAAGATCCACAAAAAAGCTTCTATAAACATTTTTTCATTTACCGTAAATTCAAAGATATTCATCAGAAAATCATCTCCAGATTCAGTAGTCAATTAGTTCTTTAAAAATATCTCAGGATTGAAACAAAATTGTGATTTCTCGAAAAGGACCTTTCTTGTAGTGCAGGATAAGATCTACAAAAAATCCCGCTATCTCTTCTATCCAATGGCGTTAGATTAAGATAGAGTTCTATCCGCTATAGTTTCGGAGATTTCCTCAAAAAACAAAAGGGATGAAGAATTAAACCTCTATCCGCTCTAGGGGCTGTAAATAACGATAAAAATGGCCTTTTGACCCATTTTCTCAGCCTATAGGGAGCAATAATATTTCCAGATCATTTTTTATTTTTAAGTGGGGTCGCGCGACTTCTTTCAAGTACCAGAGTATTTGATTAAGAATTTCGGCAATTTTTTCGATTTTAGCTTTATGAAAGAAAAGAATGTCAGCATGAAACATCAGGAAATTTTTATTTTCCGGTAACATTTATTTTTTATTTAAGAGAAGGAATTAAGTCGTTTTACATTACATACGCTTGATTCTGCGGAAGGTCATATCAAATACACGAAGAAATTTTCACTGAGAAATATTTAAAATTGAGGGACTAATTAAGTTCTTACGAATCATAAATGAAAAAAAAATGAAGATTCGCGAAAGGATAGAAGAAAAAAAAATTGGATGCATGTATTCATCACAATAGTCAATTATAACGTGAATGGAGAATTCAAAATTCATCCCCTCCCCACATATTATCTCAAATCATTTAATTTCATTCTCTTAAGAGGGACCAACGTATGGAGTTAGACATCTTCAAAAGGACTTTTCCATTTTTATTGCAATTTGATTTTTGGGTGAGTCTCCTGTGATGAAAATCTACATAATTTTTTTTTCCATTCTTTTTATCGAGAATCGTCATTGTCCGATTTTTTCGACTCTTAAAACCTTGACTAGCCCTTCAATTTTTAATATTTTTTAATGAAAATTATTTTGTTCACTTGATATGACTTGCCGTAGAATCAATCGTATAGAATTCAAAATTGGTTAATTCCTTCTGTTAAATAAAAAAAAAATGTTATCAAAGAATGAAAACTGATGAAAACTGATGAAATGATGTTTCATGCCTACATTTTTTCCTTACATAAAGAAGAACATATAATCGAATAACCGTGCATCCCCTTTTTCCTTTATTTCAATAAAAAAGAAAAGATTTTCATGAAAGTGTTAGGGCACCACTTCTCGGATTAGTCATTTCCCCATATAATGACGTCGTCCCGTCCGATCATTGGTTTCTTCACGCTAAATGACAAAATCACTAATCAACGAAACACCCAATGTTCCCCTCATTCATGAATGATGAATTTTATACCGCGCGTCACACAGAGAAAATAAAATTGTAAATATTACTATGTCAAAATCCGGACATAGTAAGTATTACCATAGACATGGTAATGTTTACCATGGATAGTAATATTTACTATTTTATTTTCTCCGTGCAGGCTATGGGGATCGCATAAATGCGACGCTGCCAAATCTAATGAGATTTACTTCCATTTTGTCCCGTCCCACACGCCAAGAACGTTCTCAATGCGTTCGTTCTTCATAAGAACGTTCTTCCTAATTTCGTGCTTCAATTTCGTTCTTCGAGAACGTTCTCAATAATGTTGTTCTTCAATTTCGTTCTTGCGCGAACGTTCTTGCAATTTCGTTCTTCTTAAGAACGTTCTTGTAATTTCGTTCCTCATTTCGTTCCCGTTCTCGAAGCGTTCTTGGGAACGAAAACGCCAAAACCGGGGTTTTGTTCGTTCCTCAATTTTGTTCTTAGTCCCTGAAAGTAAGGAAATAAACAATAAGGAACTATCAGCCGGAGGATCGAGCCAGCGCCTAAAAAGATAAACACTATTGGCTGGAAAGTGAGCACCTTCGATTTTAGCTCATACCTAATTGCACTAGGCGACGATCCGATCAATGGCAATAATGCTACGGAAAAGGCGCACGACCTCATGAGAAGGATCACGGAAGCCTGTGACGCCACCATGCCCAGAAAGCGGGTCAACAGTTGGCGCCCGGCGATGTATTAGTAGAATGATACCATCGTCACTCTGCGTAAGGAGTGTAATAAAGCGAGGAGATCGTCACAGCGAGCCCGAAAGAAGCCAAATTTCGGAGAGACACGGCTGAAATACAAGGAAGCACGCCAGAAGCTCAGCATAGCCATCAAGTCTAGCAAGAGGCAATCCTGGAATGAGCTCCTTGCAGAAGTTGAAGGGGATCCATGGGGTAGACCATACTAGGCGGTGACGACGCGGCTTGAAGGCCAACCAATGCTATCGCCGACTTGCTCTGAACTCTTGAAGAAAATCATCACGGTGCTGTTCCCACAACAACCGGAACTCCACCGTACCACCGAATACGAAGAGGAGAAGACAATTCCACCAATCAACGAAGAGGAACTGATGGAGGCCTGCAGTGGAGTGAAGAACACCAAGGCTCCTGGCCTAGATGGAATCTCCAACACTGCGCTGAAAGTGGCCATCCGGAGGATGCCTGCGCTGTTCCAGGACGTGTACAAAAAGTGTCTCAAGGAAGGTACCTTCCCTGCAAAGTGGAAGCAGCAGATGCTAGTATTACTCCCAAAAGAGGAAAAACCGCCGGAAGAACGCTCATTTTATCGTCCCCTCTGCATGTTCGATACTACTGGCAAGATTCTCGAACGCATCACTCATAGAAGGATAGAAGCAACAGTTGAATCACTGTTAGCCGGCAACCAGAAAGGTTTTCGGAGAGACCGATCTACGCTCGATGCCATCAGCCTTGTCGTCGACACCGGTAAGGAGGCGATCTCAGGGAAAAGATGGTACGGCGGCACAAAGAAGTACTGCCTGGTAGTGACACTGAACATCAAGAATGCTTTTACCTCAGCCAGGTGGGACTGCATAAGGGAGGCTCTTGTGAAGTTGCATCTACCTGAATACTTGCGAAGGATGGTAGATAGCTACTTTACCGGAAGAATTCTCAAGTACGACACGGAGTGTGGTCCGGATGAGTACAGAGTCACTTGAGGGGTATCTGAAGGCTCAGTACTGGGCCCTCTCCTGTGGAATATCATGTACGATGGGCTGCTCAAGCTGAAATTGCCACAAGGTGTGAAACTTGTGGCATTTGCGGAGGGCATGGCTGTAGTTATCGTGGGAAAACACCTGGAGGAGATCAACTTCGCATTTGATATGGCCTTCGAGACGATCCGCCGCTGAATGGATACAGTAGGCCTAAACCTAGCGGAGCATAAGACAGAAGCCGTGCTGATCCCTAGCAGAAAGAATATTGAGACTATCACGCTGCAGCTCGCGTTTTTTGAAATTACCTCCAGCCGTACATCCGATACCTGAGGGTGATGATCGATGCCCGACTCAACTTCAAGCAACAGGCAGAGTACGTGGGTATGAAGGCGTCTGGGCTCAGAGCGTCCCTATCGCGCCTCATGCTAAACGTAGGAGGCCCTAAGCAGAGGATAAGAGCGTTACTATCGTCGGTGGTCACGTTGGTGCTTACGTATGGCATTGCCATCTGGGATGACCCACTGCAGACGCAGGAATCACGGAGGATGGTGGCACCAGTCTACCGATTGAGCGCTCTCAGAGTTGCTAAAGCATACCGCACTGTGTCCGAGGATGCAGTATGTGTTATCGCCGGGATGCTGCCCATTGAAGTGTTAGCCGAGGAACGAAGATCCCTGTACCGGTGGAGAGGATCGAATATAGTGAGCGCAGCAGAGCTCAGGGCAGAAGAGAGACGAAATAGCTTACACCAATGGCAGCTCCAGTGGGACGCCTCAGGGAGCGGAATATGGACTCACCGTCTTATCCCGTAGGTGGATGCTTGGTTAAAGCGTCGGCATGGAGAAGTGAATAGCTACTTGACACAGATGCTGTCAGGACATGGGTGCTTCCGGGCTTATCTTCATAAATACAAACATGAGGATTCCCCGGAGTGTCCGGCCTGCACAGGAGTGAATGAAACGTCGAACACGTGTTTTTCGCTTGCCGCTTCAGCATGAATTGTGATAACTGAGAGTCTGCACTTGGAAGACGAGTTCGGCCTGAGAACTTGGTAGAAGTTATGCTCTCATCGAAGGCAGCCTGGGACGAAACAAGCAACTTTGTGGCGGATATCATGAAGGAGCTCCGAAAAGAGGAACGCGAGCGGAAGAACGCAGAATGAATGAGGAAGCTACCAGAACCTCCGGTACGAAATGTACGAAATAGAAATGGCTATGAAGGAAGAGCAACAGCTGAAATGGCCCGCCCCCCCGCAAAGTAATGCCTGCCGGCAGTCCGGTGGAGAATATGGGATAAGAGAAAATAGCTCTGACTGGAGTTGAGTCGGTATTGATCGTAGATCCGAGTCTGACATACCCCACTTGACGGAGGGATTCACCTATTCCCTCCCTCAGGTGGTGATGCGTAAATGCATTCTCCCAACAGACCATAAAAAAAAACACACACACACATACTCACTGACACATACGTATGGACATTTTGTTAAAAATTGTCGACAATGATTCTGGAGACCTCGAAACGTAGAGATATGATGTCCAATCGATTTTCTATTTTTGGGGTGCATACAATAACTTCCCTATGCGGGAAGTTAATAAAAAGATTCCATCACAATGCGAGGGGCTATTTACATTTGTAATCAAAGTGTAATCAGAGTGTAGTTACAGTGAAATCAATGGGATCATTGTAATCCCCGAAATCATATGATTACACTTCTTGTAATCATTTTTGATAATCAAAATGTAGTCAATCGTACTCAGTGTAATCATTTGAAATGATTTCTGTCATGTGAGTGCATATTTCATTTTTCGCATTTCACATTTTGTAACAAACATGTGGGGATGTTCGTTAGAGATACCACCAAAACCTGAGAACATCCACCTCCGGCGAAATGCAGTAACGGATCGTGAGTAGAGAGAGAGAGAGAGAGAGAGAGAGAGAAAGTAGAATTTTGTTTCCCACTCCGGTGTGTTCATTTTTCCGATTATCCCTGGGATAATCGAGTCGTGTTTTTCCGTTTGAGCGGAGGTATTTTTCGTTGCTTCGCGCTTCCGTTTAGTAATTTTTGCGGTTTCGTTTCGTTTTTTTTTTTGACTAATCAAAATCTGAAATTACGCGTTTTTGAGGGCCCATAGGGTTATCGTGAAGAAGGGCCAAATTTTAGAGTCATCCGATAACCTTTATGGGAACCACCCTATTGTTAATCTTACGGTAAATCGTTGAGGTCCGGTTGAAATACCGGCGCTCCAAATTATAATGGATTTTACGGTAGTTAACTGGTTACGTTTCAGTTTTTCGGTGGAAGGTCACGTGGAACAAGTGCAACCCTTGTATCCCGTAAATTGCCAGGTTGCATCAAGATTTTGGGAGATTGAAGAGAATTAGTTAGGAGTATCGGTCTTTTAACCCCGTGAATCCAGGAGAACCGACCCGTAGGAGGCGCCAAAAATCCACGGTAATTTTCCAAACGTCCACCATTTCGGCCCAGATTAATTATTAGTCTATTTTATAAAGTTACGTATAGAATAATTAGTATTTTTCGCGTTTAAATTCCCCGAAATCATTCGGTGGCGCCATCAAAGCCACCGCTTGATGTGCCAAAATCTCCGCCAATCAGAGCCCGCCTCTGTTGGCCGGAATTCGCGCTGCGGTTAGTGCCCGTGACACTGACACAGGGCAGTTAGTTCCGCGTTGACCATCCCAAAGAACTAGTCGCGTGTGAATTTCTGTGTGTGCCCACATGACGTAATTGTGTCTGCACGGATTATTGTGCCTTCAAAGAAGCTGTAAGAATCCAGGATGGTCCGAAAAGGGAAAAGGACCGTTAAACATCGAAAAACAGTGAGTTTTCTGGTATTTTTCCCCCTAATTTCGAGCCATTTTCGAATGGCGTCGTTTCCCCTTCATGGCGGTATCCCTCGCGTGGCGCTCAGCCACATGCAGTGGTTGATCACCCCCTTTTAGTCATATTTGTCGGTTCGAATTTTGCCTTTTTTTGGGCATTATCCCTTATCCCGGATATTTATCCGTGGGCCCTTCCGATTTTTGGATCGGATATTCCACTCAAATCGGGTCGGTACCGAGTTCTCACCCCCTCCGGTTTATCCAAATCGTCTTTTGAGATGATTTTCGGGTTCAGCGAGTGTGTCTGTTCGATAGTGAAATTGCTGCATTTTTTTTTTCAGTCGAAATCGGACGATTTTCGACGTGGGCTATTTCCTTCTCCCTCGCTCCTATGGTGAGGAGTATCTTTTTTTTTCCCTACGTATAAATTGCGTAGAGTTTTTCCCCTCGCGGTACCCCGCTAACGAGCCCACAAGTGGTGGCTATCGCTTTCCGTGAGTGTTCCCCCGTTTAAATTTCCCTCCGGATGTAAACTAATCCGAAGTGGCTCCCAATGATCCCAAAATTATAATTTTGGTTTCATGGGCTTCGCTAGACTTTTCCGAGCAAGTTGGCTATGGGTTTTTGAAAATTTACTCTACCGAATTTCCGCTACGGCGAGTTTAGTTTTAGGGAGTTTTTAGTTTCCCGCAATGCGTTGTACGTATATCGCTGGGTTTAGATTTTTCTGTCTCTCACTCTCACAGGGATTGGCATAACTTTACCTTCAATTGCCGACATTCTCGAGTATTTCGGGATTAATCGATAATTTTTCTTGTATATTGTGGTATGAGGAATTTGATGACCTCACTTGTGGTCGAGTTAATCGACCAAATATTACTTTTGTATTATATAATAAAATTCAAATGATCATAATTTTTTTTTGCTATTTAATCAGTATTGTTACGAATCTTTTTTTTTGTGAGATCAATGCGAAGAGAAAATCATGTAAATTAATAATTTTTACAAATTTCAATAGTGAAACACGTAAGGACAGTGTCGACCTCTTCTTTTTTTTGTAGTTTTAACCACCCAATACCCGTCTCCACCTGAAATCCACCCCTCTCTCCACAACCTAGCACACTGAGCGAACCAAGGACCGTTACCTTTCCCCAGAAATCTAGTTTTCTCCCTTTCTGAGTAAATTTTTGAGGTTTTTGAATTAACTAGAATTGATTTTGTAGATTATTTCGGTTTGGTAATTCCGGCTAAAAATTACCTGGCGTCCATAGATTTTTGCATTTTTGAGTTTAACTAGATGAAGGGGAAGAAGGGCGAAGGTAATAGGCATTTTTGACTCCCATACGAAAATGTCACGTTACAATTTCTACCATCTGTAAATGAGAGAAAAACATCCCTACCGGGACAGTTTTATTTGAATCCGCAAATCGTCTATTTTTTGGATTTCAAATAAAGGTACTTGTCGGATGTATATTCGCAATACATGAGGTACGAGTAAAGTCATCAGAAGAGTCGAGAGGGCTGATAAGTGGAATGAATACAAGGGTCAATGGGGTGTGACGATTGGAGTAATGTCGAGGGTCCAACGTGAGGCATGAGCGGAATGAAGGGTTAAGAGGGGGAGACAAACGAAATGATCACAAGAGTCAAACGGAAGAGATGAGTGGATTGATAACGAGGGTCAAATGGGAGATATGAGTAGATAGATAACAAGAGTCAAAGGAGGAGGTGAGTGGAGTCAGGTTTCAACAAGTGTCATATATCGCGAGGGTCATATCTCTGTATTGTCAAGCATCACCAAGATCATTTCTTGCAAGGGTCATGCGTTGCAACAGACCCACGCGGGGTAAGACCATTTCGATATTTGACCCTTCACGAGGTATGACCTCCGCATGACTCCACTATACTCGTCTCTCCCGTCTGATAGTTGTGATCACTCCACCTGTTTCTCTTGTTTGACCCTCATGATCATTCCACTCGTCTCCCCCATTTGACCACTCCACCATTCTCCTCCACTCGTACCACCCATTTGGTTCCCGTCATCACTCTACTCGTCCCCCTCGTTAAACCCTAGTCATCATTCCACTTGTCTCCCCCTTTAGACCCGTCTGATCATTTCTCTCATGCTTCACGTTTGACTCTCGACATTATTCCACACGTCACCCCCGTTTGACCCTTGCGTTCAATCCATCCGTACTTCGCATTTAACTCGTCATCACTTCACTCGTACCACACGTTCGACCCTCCATTCCCACTCAATCCTAGCCTCTTCGTAGAGTATCTTATACGAAAAATACAGGAAGAAAAACATTCAAATCAGATAGTCAGGGTATCACTCGGCACGGGTTCAAGTATCTCGTACAGAAATTGGACTGTATTTCATGGGATAAAATAATAAAATTATGAAAATAGTTGCCGGAGAAGTTCTATTTTTCAAGTCGTAGAAGAAGTCAACAAATTGATTAATTGATTAATAACTAATTTTCTAACTCACAAATTTATTAAGATTAAAGATGATGTTTTTGTAATTTCAATGATTACAAATATTTGGTAATCACTGACTGTAATCACTGAAATCATGTTATCATTTCGTAATCATCTAATCATCTTTTTTGACAGTGGTCATTACTGTAATCATCGATTTGTGTAATCAGGGCCGTAATCACACGTAATCGATTACGTTTTGTAATCACTGTGTCACCCAATTCGGATGTGAATAGCCCCTCGTCGCAATGTCTTCCTATAAGATTTCACATTTGACTGTTGATTAGTGCTGAAGAGTTTCTTCCTTCATCACGCTGTCCTTCAGAAGCCGTTTACAGCATCCGTCAACCCGGCAACAAGGGTCATACATGAAAAACCATGCGGAGTAATTATCTTCACTCCCATCCTATAGATTTCTTCAGCATGTTATTAAAACTATCAATGGTGAGATATTATAGAATTATGGTGACAATTCGATCTAGTGGTGACAGCTAGTCAATGATGGCTCACTATGTCATTATCTGCATTTTCCACGTTTGCTGGCATAACAGCCAGTCGTAATACTTCCAGAACAATGATCATCCTTTTCTTAATCAATGATCGATTTTATGCAACTTGATTAATCAACAATTCTATATGACCTTTGATTGACTATCACATTTTTAAATGCGTCGAAAATATCAGACCATAGGAAAAATATTCCAAATATGCTTTCACTCTCAGTAACCCACTCCGAGTGGAATTATGGAGTGCAGAATAAAACCCGGAGGGATTCTCTGCAGCAGAAATTTCCTTGCAGGCTTTCCTCTGAAATGGAAATTCATATTCAGGCAATAA